CACTTCTCTTATCTTCCAGCAGTAAAGGAACGGGTTCAAAGTGGAGTTAAAGAACACTAAGACAATCGCCATTCCCCTGATTATGATGAAATTCGGAAATCGCTCTTTACTAAGAGAGATCACAAATTCCACTGTAAGAAGTGGTACATAACAGACAACTAAAGCTAATTGTACCCACAGTTGTATCCTTTCTGTATCGCACTATGGTCAGTGTATTTGGTTTGCTTGGTTGTTCTTGAGCATGATCTTGTATTTGAGCCTGATGATGACTGAGAGCGCGAAAAATCTTTGCGTACGAGGTGATTGAGATTGCTAGGCAAGATAGTGTAGCCATAAAGCTGTACGAAAGGCCAATACGGTACTTGAGATGAAATAATAAACCACCCACTGGACATACAACCCAAACGATAGCTAAAATAATATATGTGCGCCTTAAAGTTACAATCTCTTTGTATCTCAACCCCAACAACATAGGTAGTGTAGAAAGGATGGTTAACAAGACCAACCAACAGATCAGTCGTTGCTAGACAACGATATAAGAGTTTGGATGGGGGATGGAGAGAAGATTCCTTGCGAAGAGCAACAAGGATGAGACAATTACCAAGAATTCCAGTAATGGAGAGGAGAATGTTGACTGCTGAAAATGAAATGGACTGTTGTTTCAACTCACCTATCCAAACCGGGGAGCATTGCCAGCCTTTAAAAAAAATTCGTCTGTGAACCACTTCCTGTTATATTCGTTGTTTCCATCATTGTTGTTTCCACTCTTTTGCAAGTTATCCTTAAGTTGGTAACAACCAGGAATATTTTGTCTTAACAGCACCCCCCAGGTCAAGATCAGTTAAATCTTAGTTTTTGAATAGCAATAACAGAATAAAAAATTCATCACTAGCATCTGACTATGTAAAATGCCCGAAATCCACAAGGTTTGTCAAACGAAGGGGAGAAAAAGGCCGGCTTTTCTGCGCGAATTTGAATTATCAATAAGGGGGGAAGCAAAACTATATTTGTGACAGGTTATTTCACAATATAATAGAAAAAAACTTCGTCACTTAAATAAACCCTCAGTGATAGGATACCGACAGCCGACGACGGGAGAAATTTTTTGTGCAAATTATCTCTTGTTTTAAAGCGGAAGTTTGCTACTGAACAATACTGTTTGTCTCAGTAACCTGTTTATGAAATCAATAAACGACACTTTAGATATGGCATCGTATAACAGCGACAAATTTTTACTCTCTGTGACCACTGTTCCAAAAGAAACGGTAAAAATACAAGTTTTTGACAAAGGAAAACCCTTAGTGAAAGCTATTGACAGATTATGAAGTGCTTATGCCAATGCTGTGATCACGGGACTTGTCAGAATTATGATCACGTACGTACGAAAGATTGCAGCGCAGATGTTACTCAGTCAGGAAGCAGTTTGAAGACTTCCCTTGAATGAATCTATGGTTACCAATAACATGTTATGTTCGCCAAGGTTTTGTTTTTGTTTTTGTTTTGTTTGTTTTTTACTTTTTTAACAATACTTTGTCTTGGTTTTGTTCTACAATACGGTTTTGCTACCGAATAAAAATATTCAATCATTTCATTGGCGCAGAGTATGAAGCTACAGAAACCTTTGTACATTGTTTGCTTAATGAAACATTCAGCAAGGTAAGTTAATCTTTTAGTTGAGTCATTATTTGATTGCAAAACATTATCATAGTAACAATTGAAGTTGTTATGCATAGAACAGGTGATTTAAGCGATCTTTGCACGAGTTGTCATCTAATTTAACCGAGTAAACGAGATGAATAGAGGAACGTTAAAAAAACAAACAAACAAACAAACAAAAACAAAAAACAAAAAACAAAAAAAACGGTAAAGTTGCAATTCGTCCAAGGACAATTATTGTTTTTATCATTCAGATGACTTCTAATCATTATTTTACAGCGTTTCTTGAGTAATTCTCGGCCAGGGCGACCTAAAGCCAAGTAGAACTTGTTTCTTCGATACTGTACAAGAACAAGAAAGCAACTATGGAACTATAGATTCCAATGCCTCCATGAAGGATAAAGTATTGGATTTGGTCTATTGGAACAGCCCCCACGAAGAAAGAATTACTGTCGCCCTCCCCTTCCTAAAGTTTTAACTGTAAGCCACAAAAAGCCATCACTCCATTGAGACACTCCTCTTCTTGTGTCCTTTCAAAAAAAAAAGGTGTCTCTTTGAAAAAGGAAAATACCATTTAATGACTTTGACCTCATCCTTTCGTGATGATGTGAGCCCTTGGCTTGGTTATCAGGATGGAAAAAATTCTGATGGTCTATCATGGTTTATTTTCTATCTGCATTATACCGTCTGGCAAGAAGGATTGTGTTCCGCTTTGCAAGCTGTTTGTTATCGTCAAACATGGAGCCGATATTCTTCTTTCTATCGTTGTGGCTTTCGACTCTCTCGTGTTCCTCGGTCCAAGAGTCTCCTCTGAAAATGAGTGTGATCGTTTGAGCCTTAGAGCTCCTTCAGTGTCCACAAGTTCCACGGTGCAACAATTCCGCCTTGCACCACGCCCTTTGGGATCTATTCGCTCGCTTTCCTGTGTCTTCTCCAATCCTATCATTTGTAGAAGAGCCTTCCTGTAACGTTTGTTTCCATAGAAATAGAGGATAGGGTTCGCCAGAGAGTTTATTTGAACCACGATACATACCCATCGTAAAGCCGAATACATGCGAAAAACTGGTGAGTATGATACCGAGGTCATGACTGCTAGTATCGGAACACTACAGATGAAAGCGGCTATTAACAGCAGAAACGCAGTGTGAGTTTCTTGTTCTGAATCGAAAGTGGCAAAGGAAAAGTTTTTATTGCAGAATATTTTATGTATGAGAGGTTGTCCTGCGTGCGCCCGTCTATTGATTCCTATTCACTTTGAAACAAAATTGTCGAAATTTTCAGCACTTAGTAGTCATATGATAAACTACCTAATAACTGAGTTTAGCTGGCCCGAACGGGAAAATATTTTGACTAATAGTCATGTCGCTCGACCCCAATATTTTTCCGTCCGGCCCGACCAAACTCAATAAGTACATTTTTTTTTCTCAAGCATCTCATCGGTCCGGAATCCTAAATATCCTCGAATCTGATTGGCTAATTCCACGCTTCCCAGCGATCCGGGAGAGGCTCCGGGTATGGACCTCTCTGAGTTTTGCCATTTGAATTTTTAATCGTTTCACGAGAGAGGCTTAAACATGTAAATATTGTATAAGTGACTCACAGTTATGCATTCAGACAACGGAAGCTAGCAAGGCGAAAGCAAATTTTATTATCCCGATGAGGAAAACGTATTTCAAGATAAAGAATACCACGGAAGATGCGAGATCCTAAAGGAGCTAGGGCGAATCTTAAGAGACGCCTATTTCCAATTGAAGAACTCGCCGAATGACGTGATCACTGTAAACATGTTTTTTCGTTGATATAATCAGTAATATGAAGGGCGTTCTTAGAGGCGGAAGTTAAACAGACAACGTCAGATGTACATTCCGTCGCTTTCGCTCGGTGTACTCGTTCTATTGTTTTCATTCATTCAGTCTCAAGCGCTAAAGCTTTCTCGAAGCGAATTGTTTTCTCTATGTTTCAATCTTTAGAACTCTCTTTGGCATCCTTACACAGACAACTCCATTTCGTTTTTTCCATCTCAGGGGCAGAAACCCTTACTCATTTGAACCCTAACACGAACACATCAAAGACAGCTAGATCACAGTAAGGACTGCTCTAACTTGGTGTAATTGCCTATATTATATTTCATAACCTATTCTTATCAAACATGTCCCTATCTAGTTAACAAATAGAATCTGTGTTGTTAAGCGTCTGTTCAATGATAGACAAAAATTTGGACACAAGGCACAATCAAGTGTGACGCTGATGTTCTTACAATATAGTGGCGTCTTCTGTGATCAGTTATTGTGCAGACGCATAGCAACACAGGTTCTATTTTTTTATATGAAAACTGGTAGGGGTGACGTCATCTATGCATCCATCCCCCGATAGATCATATCAAGAAACAGTCAAAATGCGAGTATGATTCGGCTTATCACATAAATAGTAACTAGAAGTTGTTTACTACGCATGACGATTATGATTTAAATAGAAAAACACCTTGAAAATGATAAAAAACGGATTTAAAGGGAAAAAATTGAAAGCTGGCCCCATCCGAACGATCACACTGCGTGCGCAATCTTTGTCCAATCTTTCAAAGCTTATTTTTTCTTCCCTGTCTGGCCAAGCTCTCTCAGATGGGAGAAAGTGTTAAAAACAAATCTCCAAGAGAGACCCTTTTTACCCAGGTTTTTGCGAGAAAAGAATAAAGAGACAATCGCAAGTACAAAAAAGCAACAACACCATCTAAAAAAAGAAATAATTTCAAAACTGCTGGAGCATATCTTAAGCTTGCTGCACATAGTAACTAGGAACAAAGCTCCCCCTCCTAGAGAGAAAGCTTGTACATCTCAAGTAGCCCCCTCCCCTCCCCCTTTCCCTCCAGCAATTTGTCATATTTTCTTAGCTGTTGACACTTACAAATTTACACTCCTAGTTAGCGGTAAGCACTTTGAGACTTTTGGCTACTACATTATTTCTTATAAGTGATGTGTATTAGAGCTTTACGTGAAGATAATTTTACTGTGGATCGAACCATTCTTAGGTCTTCTCGTCTCACAATGACTACGAAGAGAAAGAAGTTGAATTACGTTTTCAAACCAAACACCTTCTCAAATGGAAAGGCTGGATAAAGGGAGGCGGGATATACAACAACAAAACACAAACCCTTCAAAACAGCATTTGCTTGTTTGGCGGAAAGCCCTCTTCTTCCCTTCCAGACCCCCCCCCCCCCCTCCACCCTAATCTTTTAAAACAAAAGCAATTAGGGAAAAGAATCAATGACGACAAGCAGAAAGGAGGATGGAAAAGTGAAAATGAATGGAGATCTGCCTGTGGAGGCAAGTGCAGTAACCCATAAAAATAGTAATTCTTTCTTGAAATTTTCTGTCTGATATTTTTTCAGATTGTGCTCTCATTTCTTCTAATTCACTCGATAATGTGTTTGGTGAAAGACGTGATATCTTTGTTCTACAGCAGAATGATGGTCACCTTACCATGCCCAAATTCATTGTAACAGCATTCATTCTGCTGACTCTTTCCAGAATTGTAGGATCCACCTCCACCCCCACAGGAATTTCTTTCATCGCCTCCACTGCCTCCCCCAGAGTACCCTCCTCCTCCTCCTCCCCCTCCCCCACCCGATCCTCCTCTCCCATAAGCTCCACCACCACCTCCAAACCCACCCACAATATTTTGTTTCTTAGATCTTCCACCCACCCCTCCCTGAAGAAATCCCATGCCACCTTCTCCCCCATCCCCAATGCTTCCGTTAAAATTCGTTCCACTTCTTCCACTAGAGTAGAATCCGCCACCGCCGCCACCTGAAAAAAAAGTGGGTGTTTAACTAACAGAAGCGCTAAGCTATTTCATATGACAAGTGAGATTATGTACATATTTAAACCTCTATGAACTAATATTGTGTATTATGTATTCATTTTAAAAGCCCGCTCTTCCTCTGGTTCTGTGTTGCCACTGTTCTTCTGTCTGGTCCTGTGTTCTACTGTTCTTGTTGTCCTGTTTTTCCACTATTCTTCTGCATGGTTCTGTGTTTCTACTGTTCCTCTGTCTGGCTCTGTGTTTCTACTGTTCCTCTGTCTGGTCCTGTGTTTCTACTGTTCCTCTGTCTGGTCCTGTGTTTCTACTATTGCTCTGTCTGGTCCTGTATTTTTACTGTTCCTCTGTCTGGTCCTGTGTTTCTACTGTTCTTCTGTCTGGTTCTGTGTTTCCACTGTTCTTTTGTCTGGTCCTGTGTTTCTACTATTCTTCTGTCTGGTTCTGTTTTTCCACTGTTCTTCTGTCTGGTTCTGTGTTTCTACTGTTCTTTTGTCTGGTCCTGTGTTTCTACTGTTCTTTTCTCTGGTCCTGTGTTTCTACTGTTCTTCTGTCTGGTTCTGTGTTTCCACTATTCTTCTGTCTGGTTCTGTTTTTCCACTGTTCTTCTGTCTGGTTCTGTGTTTCTACTGTTCTTCTGTCTAGTCCTGTGTTTCTACTGTTCCTCTTTCTGGTTCTGTGTTTCCACTGTTCTTCTGTCTGGTTCTGTGTTTCCACTGTTCTTCTGTCTGGTTCTGTGTTTCCACTGTTCTTCTGTCTGGTTCTGTGTTTCCACTGTTCTTCTGTCTGGTTCTATGTGTCCACTGTTCTTCTGTCTGGTTCTGTGTTTCTACTGTTCTTCTGTCTGGTCCTGTGTTTCTACTATTCCTCTCTCTGGTCCTGTGTTTCTACTGTTCCTATGTCTGGTCCTGTGACCTATTTTTCTACTGTTCCCCTGTCTGCACCTGTGTTCCTGCTGTTCCTCTGTCTAGTCCTGTGTTTCTACTCTTCTTCTATCTGGTCCTGTGTTTCTACTCCTCTTCTATCTGGTCCTCTGTTTCTACTGTTCCTTTGTCTGGTGCTGTGTTTCTACTGTCCTTATGTCTGGTCCTGTGTTTCTACTGTTCCTCAGTCTGGTCCTGTGTTTCTACTGTTATTCTGTCTGGTCCTGTGTTTCTACACTTCCTCTGTCTGATCCTGTGTTTCTACTGTTATTCTGTCTGGTCCTGTGTTTCTACTGTTCTATTGTCTGGTCCAGCGTTGCTACTGTTCATTTGTCTGGTCCTATGTTTGTACTGTTCTTTTGTCTGGTTCTGTGTTTCCACTGTTCTTCTGTCTGGTTCTGTGTTTCCACTGTTCTTCTGTCTGGTTCTGTGTTTCCACTGTTCTTCTGTCTTGTTTTGTGCTTCCACTGTTCCTCTGTATGGTTTTGGGTTTCTACTGTTCCTCTGTCTGGTCTTGTGTTTCTGCTGTCCCTCTGTCTTGTCTTGTGTTTCTACAGTTCCTCTTTCTGCTTATGTGTTTTTACTGTTCTTCTGTCTTGTCCTGTGTTTCTACTGTTCCTCTGTATGGTCCAGTGTTTCCACTGTTCTTCTTTCTGGTTCTGCGTATCACTGTTTTTTTGTCTGGTCCTTTGTTTCTACTGTTCCTGTCTGGTTCTGTGTTTCTACTGTTCCTCTGTCTGATCCTGTGTTTCTACTGTTCTTCTGTCTGGTCCTGTGTTTCTACTGTTCCTCTGTCTGGTCCTGTGTTTCTACTGTTCCTCTGTCTGGTCCTGTGTTTCTACTGTTCTTCTGTCTGGTTCTGTGTTTCCACTGTGTGTCCGTGTTTCTACTTTTCCTCTGTCTGGTCCTGTTTTTCTACTGTTCCTCTTTCTGGTCCTGTGTTTCTACTGTTCCTCTGTCTGGTCCTGTGTTTCTACGGTCCCTCTGTCTGGTTCTGTGTTTGTACTGTTTCTCTGTCTTGTCTTGTGTTTGTACTGTTCTTCTGTCTGGTCCTGTGTTTCTACTGTTCTTCCATCTGGTCCTGTGTTTCTACTGTTCTTCTATCTGGTCCTGTGTTTCTTCTGTTCTTCTATCTGGTCCTGTTTTTCTACTTGCCTTATGTCTGGTCCTGTGTTTCTACTGTTCCTCAGCCTGGTCCTGTGTTTCCACTGTTCTATTGTTTGGTTCCGTGTTTCCACTGTTCTTCTGCCTGGTTCTGTGTTTCCACTGTTCCTCTGTATGGCTCTGTGTTTCCACTGTTCCTCTGTATCTGGTCCTGTGCTTCTACTGTTTACCTGTCTGGTTCTGCGTTTCTACTGTTTTTCTGTCTGGTCCTGTCTTTCCACTGTTCTTGTGGTTTTGTTTTTCAACCACAACTTTGTGGTTTTTTTTTTGTTTTTGTTTTGTTTTTTTTTTTTTAATAAATACCTTCTATCCTGTAAATTGTATTTCTTCATTTTTTATTGCCCAATTAGGAGAAAGAGAAAGTACATTACAAAACCTTTTTAGGGGAATCAGATAAAGTTTATCGTGTGAGAACTAAAATCCTCCAACTCTTCCCCTTCCCCCCCCCTTTCCTCCCCCCTGCCCTCAAGGTGACAAATAATGAACAATCCCTTAGGGATCGTGCCAACACGCCCTTACCTGAAGTACCATTATCAGCTGTCTTTGCGCCATGTCCATTCTTCCCACCTGGCCATGATAGGAGTCCAGTGTTTCCTGTCATGTTTTGGCTGGCATCACATCCTTCAAATCTCAATTCTGGTCTGTACACTCCTCCGCCGCCACCAGCTATTATCAAAGGTGTGTCGGATCCTTTCACCACAAATGTACCTCCACCACCTCCAGACGAAAGGTAAACGTTATTGCTCATCCCTTCCTGACCAACAAGTATTCGAATAACTTCTGCTTTGTTCAAGCGGAATATTCCTGTCATTCTTGCGCCTCTTCCTCGAAACGTAGAGCTGTTAGAGGCAATATCGTACCCTCCTGCTGCTCCTATTGCTTCGATGCTGTAGTCACCAGTATAAGGCACACTCCACAATTGAATACCGCCTGACAATGTAACTTGTCCGTCATGATCCTGCCCTTTATAGTGACTTCCAAGCGTTGTTGGGCCATATCTTCCCTTGGTGTCAAGATTTGTGAAAATGGCCTTAAAAACTGGAAAAAAAACATGTAGAATTGGGAATAGAGGCACAGAGGTATGAGAGGCGCAGTGGTCTAATCGTCCCGCACTTTTGGTGAAAGCGATTTAAAAATAGATAAACAAAAATAATGAATAAAGAAAATTGTTGTATCTTAGAGCGCCTTTACTCGATTGAGTGCAGTGAAACTAAAACAAAGTAACGTCAACAGCAAATCATGCAATCACGACTGACTGACGCCACTTGTGTCTTATTGCCAATAACATCACGGCTACACTGACGAATCAGTGAACGCCGCGAACCGGACTTAAACATTTGACTGACAATATCTCTTCATTTGACTCTGATGATGACATCCGCTCAGGTTGTCGAAATGTCAGTCACCACAACTGACAAAGACTACACGATCACATGTTACCCCCGGATTCAAACTATTCATGTTAATTTGAAAGTTTATATCAATAGCTTCTTAGTTTTAACCTCCTTTTTCGCAGTGTTTTCCCGCGTATCCCGCTTGACACAAACAAAGGTAACCCTGATCTGTCAATCCACTCAGGCATGTTGCATAATTGTGGCAAATGTTCATCCAGCACTTGTTCTGGTGAAAAAAAAAAAAAAAAAAAAAAGAAAACTGTCATTTAAAAACAAACTGACAAACAAAAATATTGCCTTTGTAACGTAATATCTTCCGGCTTTACCTAACCTCAAGAACACACTGATGGGGAAATGGCGCCATATTCAAAACCAACGCACTTAATCACATCGTAAAAGAAAGTTATTAATTAATATCCTTGTCAGAACTAATTTCTGAAGGTAGGAGGCGAAAATCGCTCGTAAATAGCAGGAGTCGTGCAGACCCGTCTATACTTCAAGTTTTCAGTGTTCATTTAATTGCTTCTTTAGACCTGCAACCAGCACGAAGCTTGTCGACGCTTTCATGCGGCAAAATCTCAGCAAAATGGCTATTAGTTAGACCTTTGATGCCGGGGCTGTCCTTCCTGTCATTCCACAAGTTGAAGCTTTTCGTATAATCTGTGGCTTTAGGCTTTTCATATAAAGGTAATGGAGATGATATCGACGGTCCCAGTAACAAACAAAATTTTCTCAAGAAAATTGGTAGAAACCAATAATTTAACGACCCAGAACTAACCACTTATAATTTCAGAAGACTACAGCGACAATTTAAGACCTCAAAATATTTAAATTGCTCGGATGCATTTGGATGATAGACCACAATGACACAATAGAAATTTCACGAATTTAGATGGCATAAAAAATGGCGGACTAAGCGCGCAATGTCTTATGGTTGACTTTGATATTATAATGAAGGCACGGTTACAATTTTTGAAAACCGAAAGCGTTCCTCAAACCCATAACCACTTTTCAGTTCACAGGATTACTGGAACAATTTCAGTATCGGATGATTTTGTTTTTTCACGATAAAATTTATCTGGTTCTCCCATTAGGCTTTGTAATGTTCTTAGGACACCCTCCCTTCCACATGGGCAGTTAACAGTCCCCCCCCCTCCTTTATACTCCGTTTGAGACAATTGATCCCCCCTTCCTTCCCCCTGAAAATTACGTTATCCTCCAAAATCCTCCGCACCCAACCCCTCCCACCCTCCTCCCCTCTTCTCAAACAAAGGCTCGTCCCTCAGAACGGCGAAAGGCTCCAACGAAAAAGATGCAAATACCTACTTCGGTTCCCGTATACACAGAGCCTGCCACCTTCCTCAGATCCTTCGGGTGTTGTATGTGGTCCGAATTACTAAGCTGGCATAAAACTGTGTCTTTTACCGCTGGCAGTACGTTTATCGACTTGCATCTATCCTCCATGACACATCGATTTCTGCAGTGGGAGAGTATAAGACTTCCCACAAAAAGCGTAATATTTGCGATAACATGACCCACCAATTCATGTCCACCGATTTGTTCCAAAAACTTTACACGCCTGATATCTACAAAAAGAGATAGGAGAATGTTAGCCTTTATATACTACTGTAATTCTCATACCTTTCAGCATAAATCTATCAGCATTTAATCACAAGTGGAGCAATCTGATCGGCTATGCTATTTGGTACCAATTTCTTGATTGACAGATAGTCAGGTGAGCCGGCCTGATTAACTTCGTGAGGTGGTAAACAAAATAAAGTGAAATTTTGAACCTGTCTTGTTGTTAAGAGTTGAACTAGTGATAGATTCATAGAAAGACAACTAGATTATTTGTTCCCGATTAAAATTTCTGTGTGTGATATGAACTGAATCTGAGACTCTTAATCCAGCCTTACTCTATAACTCCACTAAAGCTAAATAACAATTTAAGAATGCTGTTGCTAAATCAAGTCTACTTTGATTGAACACAAAAGTGAGGAAAAACCATGTAAGTCAAATATGGTTGAAAATATCCTTTTGTTTAAAATTTAACGGAAAAATCTGATTCAGTACGTTCTTATTTTTTTTCCATCTGCAAATGATCCCATTCCCCAACTGTACTCTCAAGAATCTGTGGACATCATCGAATTTAGCTTAGTTGCTTGTAAGAAGCTTGTCAAAATTAGTTTGGAAAACTTTGAAAACACAAAACAAAACAAAACAAAACAAAAACAGAAGTACAAAGGCAAACCAAACCAAATAAAATCGTTTTGCAGAACACAAGAGGGGGTAAGTTTGTAAAGAAATTTACATTATTGACTTAGTTGATGAAACCTTATTATCTTTTATTTTTGCAATAGTCCGACAAGGACGAAATTTTGTATCGATATCAATTGTAAAAGTTACTGCATATGAGCAGATTTGTCCATGCTCGAAAGGGAAAAGCATGAGAGTTGTAGGAAATGATAGATTTTTCAAAATCTTCTTCAACTCTTACGGAATCATTTCATTTTCTTCTTGTAGGCTTGTTGAAGTAAACGATGTGTAACGAGCCCTAAATAATTGATACAAGATAACTGAAGGTCTCGGTATATATCACGCAATATCGAAATTAGTTCGAGAAATTAAACTGAGAAAACAGACTACCAGGATTTATGGCATCGTTTACTCATACTAATTTTCATTGTTAAACGCAAGAACGTAAGAATCTAGCGGCTTTCATAACTGCCTGTAACATCCCGTTACCCTTTGATGTCAGCGAATAGAAGAAGACTAAGAAAGTGTGATGTTTTTCGTAGTCCTGAAACTTTTTCTAGGACTCAAAGAGCGTTTAGTAAACACAATACATGAATGTTTATCGCTTAACTTTTCAGAAATCATATCTATAAATATGAAAGAAGCAAGAAAGCTCAGGACAAAAAGCTTGCGAAAAAGCCCCAGTAAACAATCATGTTTTTATGCAGTCAGAACCCGTAACAACTTGTGTTTCGATCAAATTTGATTTGAAAAGACTTTGTCAATGGATTTGTAAAGGGGTTTTTTGTGTATTTTGAAATATTTTGGTCTACTCTTCAGAAAATTTAACAGCTTTCTCGACAAATAATTTGAAAATTGATGGGGACAATTTTTTGCAGCCATACAAACATATCGAATTGGAGTTAAAGACTCCAGTCAAGGTTGAAGCAAAGTTGCTGATCGACGATTTGCATCGGAAAATTCGATAGTGTGCGATTCATTTTGGATAAATTTAATTGCTTGCGTGAGGCGTAAGCAAATTTAGAAGTAAGGAAATTTTCAAAGCCACGGGATATTATGACTAAGTGATTCCTCAGAGGTGAAAGGTTCCATTTTACCAAAGTTATAAATATGCACGTTTGTAACTTCTGTTTCTCTTTCTGATCAATTTTTTTTCAAGAATCAGAATCGTTCATGAAATCTAATAAAAACATTTTGCTTCTTCCCCACATAATTCAGTAACTCAAGACAATTATCACAACGGATTCACTGAATTGAGAAGATTAATTTACCTCAGTGTAAAATATCTGAATATGTTCCTTTTAACGGTCATTGTCACAATTTTTCGTAACAGTTTCCTGTTTTATATAATGCATGAAATTCAGAAAGATACTATAGTTTTGGATTCAGGTTTCTAAACTCCGCAAATTGTCTTGGGTAGATTTTTGTACATAATTCATCCGCCTTGAAACTTACATTTTCGTTTTCTCGTTAATCGAGCTTTCTACGTGGCAGGTAAAATGTTTGATGCTTAATCTGTTAAGAAGCAAGGTTCATTTAACTAAGCCAGGTAATTTTCTCACTGCTTACCTCAGTGACAATAAGACACTTCGATAGCTCATATCACAAAGGTTTCAGTTTTAAATCCAGATCCCATTCCGATGAAATGATCGAAAGCCTTTTTTTCTGGTGTCATGAATTTCAGATTTTAACCACGTAACCATCACTTTTGAACGATCATTTTTCTTTTGAATGTCCGCTTACTTCAAGGAACAACTTAACAGTTTGACTATAACAAGACGGCACATTGCAATTATCATTAGCAAGAAAGGATGAAATACGTCCCTTAATTGTTGTCATTCTTTCCCGTTGCAGGAATGATAAGCCTACTCACCTTGTTTGGCAACTGTGAAGCTGTTAAACCAGCCACCAAACAAAACAGACAGAGATAAAAGAGAAAGGATTTGGTAGCAAAGGTGTTTCATCTCCAAACGATCGGTGCCTTTGAAACCAGTATCACCATTCAGTCATATAACTTTTGCACTAAGGCTCTCAATCACAAAACGGTAAAATAAATTATTAAGAGTAGAAAAGGGTTTTAAAAGATTTTCTGCCCCCCTGGAGTTCAGGAAAGAGTTTAATCCTTTGACCCCAAAAAGTGACCAGTGTCTAATTTCTCCTCAAGGTATCACCCATGCAACACACAGTAAGGTCACGAGTATAGAGGAAATGATCACCAACTAAAGAAGTACACTCTTGATTGTTAAAGAAATGCTCCTTGTTAGCTCCTTGGGAAATTTATAGAGAACAGTATAGATAATATACATACTGATGTTTAGGTCTAAACGGTTTAAGTTCATTTTTATGCAAATTCTGGTAAATCCGTGTTAATTAACTTCTCTGCTTCGGATAAAGCTTTCCTGCCGTTCTTGTTGTTTCCGTAGTCACGTATCTCGGCTGATAACTCTAAAAAACTTTTGCCCTATGGTCGTCACTGACAGAAAACTATATTTCTTTTAATCTGCTCAACTTTGCTGTGCAATAATTATGTTGTTTCAAATTGTTGAAAATACATAAATTAAATGCCATGTCAAACGCATCTTTTTAAGGAGATATTTCGGCACGGCATGAGACTGAAATTAAGAAAGGAAAAGAAGGCATTAACTGTGAACTTTAACTTCTGTTTTTCTGTATTTTTGGGCTAATCAGCGAATAGTTCTGAAGAGGTCGACAGCCACGAAATGTGAGACGCGAGGTCGGAGAGGATCCTGGAAACTACTATCAGCTGATTTCTGAGTCGCCGGTCGACAAGCAGCGGATCTTCTATCAAAGATGGCGGACAAATATGTTGGAAGTTTACTAAACCGCATTGTGTTGCCTGGCGATGTTATCGGTAGTGTAGCTGATTTGGAAGGAAGTCTCGAAGGGAAAAACAAAGTTAAGCTCGGATCAGGCTTAAGAGAAGCAAATGGTGCGATCGTGGCCTACAAAGCGGGGGTTTTTAGACATCGAAACCCGTCAATCTACTTGATCGATTGCAATCAAAGAAGGGCTAGTATCTGTAAAGTATTTCTGTTCACAATTCCAAGTTTTTTTTTCTTTCTGACTGCGTTACATGGGACACTTGTAACGAAAAGTTTTTGCAATTTATCGTTGCACGAAAATTACAACACCGTGTAACATCATACTGGGGAAAACTTTTTCCTTCAACAATTAATTTTGCATCACGTTGCAAGGTGACGTTCTCTTATAGACTGCTCAGCAAAGAATTTGCTCTTCTAAAATGTCTTGGAAAGCACTTTCCATTTGAATGCACTGTGGGAATGAATGGTAGAGTGTGGATCAATTCATTGTCAATACCTCATACGGTTACTGTTGCCAATGCTGTGTCGAACTCTGAATACATGAACAACAATCAAATTGAAACAATGGTGAAACAGCTTGTGAAAAGAATACAGTCATATGAAAAGCATAAATCTTATCCTCTGAGTAATTTTCTTGAATTTCTTGATGGAAAGAACAAGGAAACAAAAAACCACCGTTTTGAAAAGTGATACTGTATTTAGGATTAATCTCAAGATTTTGCTATACATATATCTCTCAGTTATTAAATGTACTATGATTAGTCAATTTAGTGGGCTATATAGTGGGGGGTGGGGGAAGGGGGATCACATGGTTCTCAGGAGAAACGGAGGGAGGATAAGTCGTCACCAACAGAGTATAAAAGGGGGACGACATATCTATTTGGTTTTAAAATATAAAATAAAATCCTTAAAAAAATCGAAAAAAATCGAATTTGGTAGTCTAAAATGTAGCGTAAACCAGCGACACCAAACGGTACCCAAAAGGTTGCTACTATGAAGTACACTGAGTTTGTCTGTATCTTAGCCCCGACAACAGGGCTAGAAGTCTTTCCACAGTGAACATAATGCATATAGCCTGTTATTTTCGTTGCTTTGTATGTGCATTGACAAAGATAGCACTCTTTGTGAACCAAGGACATCCAATAAGGGGCAATGAAAGGCTGGCTGACAATACTAACTAACAGATCAGTTGTTTCCAAACAACGATACAAGAAATTGGACGGCAGATGGAGGGAAGATACTTTGTGAAGGGCAGCAAGGATGAGAAAGTTCCCCAAAAATGCCATAAGCGAGAGGAGAATGTGAACTGCCATGAAATAAATTGGTTGTTGTTATAATCCACCTGCCTAAGATGACGACCAAAATAGGTCTTCAAATGTTTTTGTTTGCCTTTGAAATGCTGTTAAAGTTGTGGTCGGCATCATCAGTATCTTCTTTTCTTTGGGTATAACAGAGATATTTTGCCTTCACGACAACTTCACATCCCCCTTGGATTCGATCTCACCTTTTAATAATACATGTATACTTGAGCATATAAACTGTATCATTTACCCTATTTGAAATGCGCAAACTATCCCAAGCGTCGTTTGTGCCACAAAACACTTCAAAATTTACCCAGAGGTTGGGATGTGTAGCTTGCATTAAACAACCATCCTAAAAGGGAATCAGTTGTTCAGCGACAATAAATTCTACGAAAATTTATCCTGCCGTTATACCCTAAAAGGTCTCAAGATAGATAAAAGAGTGGAAATGTTGCTCAAAAGATCATGAGTAATTCAAATATTCCTCCCACGGTACACATTTTCTGGTTCTAAGGCAGAATTTTGCTACTGAATCATGCTGTTTGTCTTAGTTATCTGTTGATCAAACTGGTAAACGATCTTTTGGATACGGCATCGTATTACGAACATCTCTGAGACCATTCTTTCAAAATAAAGGGTGAAAAATTCAGTATTTGACTAAGGAAAGCCTTCACTGAAAGCTATTGACAGATGACGAAGTGCTTGTGCGAATGTTGTGATCTCGGGACTTGTCAACATTATGATCATATACGTATGGCAGACTGAAAAACAAAAAGGTTGCAGCGCAGATGTTACTTGGTCAGGAAGCAGTTTAAAGACTTCCTTTGGATGAATCTATGGTCACCAATACCATGCTAATTTAGCCAAGGTTTTGTTTTTGTGCTTTCGAAAAACTATACTAGCTTTTTTCTAGCTTATACAGTCTGGCTACAGAATAAAAATATTCAGCAATTTCGTAGGCGCAAAACATAAAGCTACAAGAAAAAAGCTACTTAGAAAATTCCACTAAAGGAAACGTGACAAATCTCACTCGAAAGATCGCCATTTTTTGTCACAAAACATTATGTAATAGAATAGAACTTCGGCAAGGTCGGTGTCTGAGCATGCGTAGACTTTCGAATCTGTCGCCTTTTCGCAATCTTTCTCACGGTGTTTTCTTTTTGGTGACCTCTTTTTTAGGCGTAGAACGCCTATGAATATTACGGGTGCAGTTGCTGGAAACCCTGGATTACATCACATAAAAACTGTATTGTGTTTAACTGTTTTTAACACACCCTTTCAGATAACAATCGTGCAATCGTATCGAGCCGCCATGTTTGTTCTGTATACTGACACTTTATAAGCTCATGCTGTGTTTGCATCCAGATCTCACGCGGTCAAAAAAAGAGGAAAAAAAACCCTATGGAGCCTCCTTAAGTACAAAAACTTCCCGTTACTGAATGTTTAGTTTGCCGGACTGCGTTACTGTTTTTTTTTTTTCTATGGCGAAATCCATGTTAAGAATGGGTAGCTCTGTTCGTTTCTGTCGCCATAACAATATATTCCTTCGCATTAAGTGCGGCGAATGTTCACCTCTGTCAATGCTCTAGAGTTTCGTTGCTGTAGAGAAATTCCCTTGGTAAACCAAAAGCTAACTTTTGACTAAAGAATCAGCTGTATCATGAGGCGCGATGATTTTTCCCTGAGAAGTCATTGTGCAGTTTCACTGCAAAATCTCCTTTCCTCAGATATTGCACAGGCAGAGGCTACCGTCGCGATCGTCTATCCGGTCGAACCGATCGGAAAATGAATGAGTTTATCGTCATGTGATTCAAGTTAATCTCTACTAATGATTTCAATGGAGAAAAACTTCTTTAGTTTAAGTGCAGCATTGCCACATGACCCATTCCGCTCAAAGGAAATAACTGACATAAGTATTATAAATGAATATTTCGTTCGCATCGACTTTCAGAAAACACTTGGATTCGCTACCATCTAATTCAATAAAATTTGTGTTTCCTTATTTATCTCGTTGCAGTGCTGTTATTCACAATAAAATTGCCGCTGTTGCTACTCTTATTTTCTTGAGGGCAAGGGGGGGATGGATTTTCGGAACCTAGTTAAGAAGAATACACAGCTTCTCGAGCTTGTGTTTATGCCAGTACCCGTTAGATGTTTTGCAGTGTTCACGCAACAGGATATCAGTCAGTTCAGGAAAGGGCTTGGACCTCATTTCAAATGATGTGAGCTTGTTAGCTCAATTGGTAGAGCGCTGCACCGGTATGACAGAGGTCATGGGTTCAAATCCCGTCGGGCTTTGCTTTAATCAGGCCTTATTTCAGCTACTAATTAGGAAGTGTTCACAACTTCAAGCGCAGTGCACGTATATGATTTTATTATATTTACAGAGATGTAAACCTGTTTTTGAAATACGATGGAAACTACAAGTGGTAGGATTTAAAATAAAAAAATCTCGATGTCGACGATCGAAACGCGTCCATTTTAGCCATACAGCTACATCGTTTGGAAAGTAGTATATAGAAATATCTGATTCATGTGTATTATTCTTGTAACTAACATCATTTGGCGCTCCAGCCACGCAATACATTCGTCCTTTCTTCTAGATTTCTCCCTTCTCCACCATAATTGCCGACGTATCTTTACAGTTTTCTACCTCACAGCTAAGTAACATGATCGTTTTGGCCGCACGCTAATGGGAACACTTTTTGGCCGCCAAATCGTGCTTTCAATGCCCAAAAAAATGGTCAAAAATAACTCGCTTGGTGCTGAGGTCGATTACTTCTAATTCTAAATACAGATATAAACCAGAAAATGCCAAACAAATTTCGTGTCAAAGGTACTTTAACAGCCTGGGGCATTCTACATCATTTCATCAAATTCTACTTTAAGATCCGTTTCACTTTGGCTTGCCTGACTTAGCTTATGACTCAGTAAGACAAAGTAAATAAAGGGGCATTTTTTTTTTTGCATTTTCTGGCGTATTCTAGAACAGAGGTCTACGATTATAAGAAATCGCAGTGGGAAATCAGTCGATAGATAAATAATTTTGAACTTTTAAACATCGTTGACCAAATTTATTTGATTTTCATTTTATCGATGAAATATATCTTCATTTATGGCAACTTCCCGAATCATTTACTGATCAAAATTTGCTTACAACCTGTCATTCATTCCGTGATATTTGTAACGGTCACGAGGACGAAAGGCACGCGTTTAAGGGAACCACACAATGAAGTTAGAGCATAGCGAGTTTTGAACCAAATTTTTATGCCTTGCATAATAATTGGATTCTTTATTTTTTCAGAATTTTATTGAAATAAACAACGTTTTGACCAATAGATGAAATTTAAGCGCGAAAATTATCCTTGTAGTGGTGAGCTGAAAAAAAAAAAAAATCTTTTTACTAAGGAGCAGTGGTAGGTACGTAAGAGCGCGTGTCAGCAGCTTTTGTACTCGATTGTCATTAAAATGAGATAATCTTTTCCCATGAGACCAGCTGTGTGTACACGGCTTGTCATAGAGTCACTAAATTCTCTTCAATATTCGAATTTGGTAATAAAAGTACTTTTAGAATTACTTGCTCAAAGTAATCTATGGATAACCATCTTAGGAATACAATTTTGCACTCGATAAACAGTCTTAATTGATGCTGGAAACAGAGTGAAAAAAGCTAGTTTTATCAACCATGTTAGAGTTTTTGGACTATTTCTTATCATAGGTTTCTTCTGCCATAATTTGGAAACTTTCTCTCTGGCAATCGATTGGCCTCAAACAATAAATCTTTATGTGAAAGTAGTCATAATCAACTCATTTTCTAAGAATTTACTTCAAAACATTGAAAGAGATGAAAAAAAGTCTACAAATGTATAAAGTTTTGCTATAAACAAATCGAGCCCGCGGCTCCTGTTAAAATCCGTAAACATTTAACCGTATGTCTGAGCCAAAATGACATATCTCATCCAGTTTTGACAAAACAGCAAAATCGTAAGCACACTCTATTTGAAAAGAATAGTATTCACTGCTTCACTGTAAGTGTGCGAATTCGGGACATGATATTCTTGTGATATAGTTACCAAAGTAAGATTTTTACCGTTCATTTGTTCTTAAGATAACTTGAATACAATATGAACATAAGATATAGCTCTTTTTGGCCTTCCTTTCTCTTTTTATCAAACAAATATATATAATCGTTTAATAGCTTTGGAAGAAATGGAACATGTAAACGTCGAAATAAGTCGAAACCTATGCATGGCAAATTGCTTGTCTGATTGTCTGCTTTACTGCTCGTCTGATATCTTTGATCTTTCAGCGGTAAAGAAACGGTTACAACCCAAACTATGGCTAAAATGATATACGCGCACCTCAGAGTTACGTCTCTTTGTATCTCAGTCCCAACAACATGGCGAGAAGTCGGTCCACGCTCATGACTATCAGCGTCGACGATGTCACTGAACATAACTCACAGCCTGATACGCCGGTTGCGTTAAGTAAGTATCGGCAAAGACTCCAGTGTTCGTGAACCACAGACATCCAATAGGTAACATAGAGAGGCCGTATAATTATACGGCCGTGCCACATATCTAATCAGTATGGCCTAAAACAAATGTAGCATAAACCAGCGACACCAGCAGTATCCAAAAGGCAACAGCCAACATCCTTTTGTTGCTATCACCCTTTTGCGAGGGTCTCAATGGGGTTAACCGTTAGCCGTAAAACGGCCAAAAAAAGTAGCCGTTAGGTGTTAAAATTGACGAAATTTAACCGTTAGTTATAAGAAAATTAACCTAAAATATTTCCGGTGGAAACAATGGAAAGATGCCTAGCGTTCGCCGTGAATTGGCCAAAATTTTTACCGTTAGCCGTAGAAGCCACCACCCCATTGAGAACCTCTTTCGCAGATTAGTCAAGATAAGTCAAACATCAGTTTGTGAATAATAATTACATAAAGACTTCATCAGTAGCGTTTGACTATGTAAATGCCAAAAAACGACATTGAAGAGTAAAATCTCCTCGAAGTCGAAGATCGAAACGCGTCCATTTTAGCCATACAGCTACATCCTTTGGAAAGTAGCATATAGAAATTCCTGGTTTATGTGTATTATTCTTGTAGCTAACATCATTTGGCGCTGAAATAATAATTACATTATGACTGACTTCATCAGTAGCGTTTGATTATGCAAAATGCAGAAAACAAGCTGTCCAGTGTGTTACACGAAACTCAAAGAAAAAAAAGGGCCGGGTTTTTCTGCGAATTTGAATTAGTAATAGGCGGCAAGGAAATATACATTTGTGGTAGAATTATTTCACAATACGACAACAAATTTGGTAATAAATGTGCTTCTCAATTACTCGCCCAAAGAAATTTATAAATAACTTCTGAGGACCACGCTTTTGCACTCAATAAACAGTCTTAATTGATGTTGGTAACGTACTAAGAAACAGTTAGCTAGTCTTATCAACCATGTTAGAATTTTTTTAATCATTTCTTATGATTTTCTCCTGTTAAAGTTTTCGAGCTAAATCTTAGGCAATTGACCTGTCTCAAGCAAGTACTCTATATCAAAGACAGAGATGATCAAATTCTTTTCTAAACACATCTTTCTGTGTATTTGAACAGATGTTAATAAAGTCCGCACCTTTTTTGTTATTTCCCAATCACGACAAAATCGAACGGCTGCCTAATTTCGCAGCTCGTCATCACGAATCCATATTCTTGAGCTAATGTGACATATTTCGTCAAGTTTTGATCGCAAAGCAAAATTTCTGAGCACATTCTGATTCCAACTGATAACCTTCACTACTCATTACAAATGCGCAAATTGGCGAGATGTTGTTGTTTTCACATGGCTACTAAACTACAACTTTTCACCAGTTAGTTGTTCGTTAGATAATTCGAATACAATATACTATTTAGAATTACTGAAGCTGTTCATATTTCTCCCGCACTTTTTTTTACTTCTGTTATATTTTGCGAAATTGATCATACGCAAATGATTGGTCTCAAACGATAACTCTATATGAAATAGAGATGATCAACTTCTCTCTAAACATATCCTTCTGTGTATTTGAACTGATGTTAACAAAATCCTCATCTTTACTTTGCAAAGTCTCATTATATATACTATGGATAATTACCAATCATCAAAAAAGCTGGCTCCTTCAGTAGTTCGTCATCACTAAACCATACCTCCTCGCTAAGGTGGCATATCTCATCAAGTTTTGATCCCAAAGAAAAATTCTGAGCGCATTCTGATTGCAAAATAATAGCCTTTACTGCTTCATTACAAATGCGGAAATTGGCGACGTATTATTGTTTTGTTATGGCTACTAAACTACAATTTTTCGCTTGTTAGTTATTCGCTTGATAATTAATATTCGAATATAATATACAACTTAGAAGTAGTTCTTCATATTTTTCCTTACCCTTTTTTATCATGAAATGACATATCTTCCCCTCTCTTCTAATGATTAAATTTTTCAAATAAGCTCAAGTAGAAACAGTACAATCCAACGTTAAAACAGGTCTACCCCTCTGCATAGCAGATTGCTTTTCTGATTGTCTGCTTTACTGCTCGTCTCACTTCACTTATCTTCCAGCAGTAAAGGAACGGGTTTAAAGTGGAGTTAAAGTAAAATATAACAACTGCTATTCCCCTAAATATGATGAGATTCGGAGATCGCTCTTTGCGAAGAGAGATCAAAATTTCCACTGTTAATAGTGGTACATAACAGACAACCAAAGCTAACTGCACCCAAAGTGCACTCTGCAGTGCCTTTCTGTATCGCACCATGTTCAGTGCATTTGGTTGGCTCGGCTGTTGTTGAGCATAATCTTGTACTTGAGCCTGATGATGACTGAGAGCGCAAAAAATCTTTGTATACGAGGCGATTGAGATAACTAGGCATGATGGTAGCCCTATACGACTGAACCAAAAGGTTATACGGTAATTGAAATGAAAGAATAAACCAGTGACTACACATACAACACAAACGATAGCTAAAATGATATATGTGCGCCTCAAAGTTACAATCTCCCTGTATCTCAGCCCCAACAACAGGGCGAGAAGTCGGTCCACGCTTATGGCCGTCAGTGTCGACATTGACAGTGAACATAATGCATAGCTTGTTACGCCATTTGTGACCCATGCGTATCGACAAAGACTCCAGTGTTCGTTAACCACGGAAATCCAATAAGTAGCATAGAGAGGGTGGCTAACAGCACCAACCAAGAGATCAGTTGTCGCCAGACAACGATACAAAAGTTTGGATGGCGGATGGAGGGAAGATTCCTTGTGAAGGGCAACAAGGATAAGAGAATTCCCAAGAGTTGCTGTGATGGAGAGGAGAATGTTGACTGCTGAGAATGAAATGGACTGTTTTTGAAACTCACCTACCCAAACCGGAGAGCATTCCGATCCTTCAATTGTTTTCGTCTGTGTTCCACTTCCTGTTATATTTGTTGTTATAGCCATCATTGGTATTTCCGCTCTTTTGCAGGTTATCCTTAAGTTGTCAATAACGAGGTATATTTAACAGCAGCCTCTAAGTCAAGATCATTTAAACCTTAGTTTTTCAATAACAATAACATAAAGTAAATATTCATCAGTAGCGTCTGACTTTATAAAATGCCTGAAGCTGTGAGCTTTGTCACACAAAAGAGAAAAAAGACAAATTTTTGTGTGCGAATTTGAATTAGCAATGGGGGGGGGGAGGGGGGCGGGATGCAAAAGCGGTATTTGTGATAGTTGTGATAGGTTAATTTCACAATACAACAGAAAAAACTCCTCACTTAAATAAACCTTCAGTGATAGGATACCGACAGTTGACCGACAGTCAACAGATTGTCGGCCGACGCTTTGACCAATTCATCGGCCGACGTGTCGTTTGGATCGGACTCGTTACCTTACCCGGATAATAACGTGAATTATTAATTCACGTGAATCATGGAATGCCTTGAATCGTTATCAGCTAAGGAAAACTGAGAGAAAAATTCCAATTTCACAATTTATGCAGGTTCTAAATGCACAGCTATTCTAAAATATATGAACTTTTGTTCGCTACGTGTCGCACCTGTGTTGAGTTAGGAACGAAACGGCGACAGGTGTAAGATATTACGTTGTTAGCCCATCTCTATCTCACTATTTCATTCGCTATTTATCCACTTCATTTATAGCTGCAAATTCGGCCGGATTATTTCTTATGGTCACGAGAAAATTAAAGGTCAAGAGGCTTGAAGTCCCATTTTTTTAAAGTATCTAAACTACTAGTGAGGTAAGCTTCTTATTTCTTGTTCTTGATTCAACCAAGCTGTTATGTATTTGTTGTGATTCTATTTTATCCTTGGTTCAAATTTTATGTTCTTTTGTTTTTGGGTATTGTAATGTAGGATAATGAGTTTGAAACAAAGGAAAATAGAATTTTTAACCAAGGATAAAATTGAACCACAACATGTACTCCGGGTGATTGGATTCTTTTTGTTGCTCTCCTACTGTGCGATTAACGAATCACCTTTGGTAATCAAAATCACATATCGCATAATTAAAGTCGTCTGCTAATTACAGTTGAAAACAATTGACTGATCAATAACCCTTTCAATTATTATCAAGGTAAAGAATTTCTAGCTAAACAAACATTTTTCTAGCTTTTAGTGAATTAAATAACGCCTTTCCCGATATTGCAACCCCATCAATAAAAATTGGACACTCTGTTTTCCAAGGCTTACACACGACTGTGTTGTAGATTTCTATACTAAATCGCTTTATTTTGAGTTTAATTTTACAAGTAGGAGTTTATTAACACCTCCCCCACCCGCATTGACCGGGTTTTCAAACTAAGACCTTGAAGACCTTTTCTTCTGAGCCTTTCGCTCGCCAAAGTGAGCTCTTTGCCTTTAAACATCACCATATTGAAATATAAAACTCTTGTTTTCCGCTGGAAAGACTTGACACCGCTTCCGGTTAAGGTTCAAATTTTCCATCCCAGCCAGGCAAGGTTTAAATTCCCCACCCCACGGGTACGGACGACGGTCTAATGCCCGTGGGTTTCCTGAGGGCGGAATTTTGAGGCTTTGAAATGATAGGTGCATGTTGGAGTAATTATAACTCATGACGTAAAGGATTAGCTATCAAGTAATACGTCCAGCAAAATGTTACATCCATTCATTAACATCATTCGATTACATAAGTTTATGTTACTAGGAGCTAAGAGACAACCAGCTGGCGGAGTTGCCTTCTGATATTTTCATCAGTAATCTAAGGCTGGAAATGCTGTAAGTGTGACATCTCTTATCAGAGCATACATTTCTTATTCTGAGTCGCTCCACTTTCTAGTTGCAGTATCTTTCAACACCTGAATTCAATTATTCTGGACAGGTTGGTATTTGTAGCCCGAGGAGTTAAAAAAGGGTGAAGGGGGGGAGGATGGATAGTATTTTGGTTATGTCAGTATGAATATTACCTGATCCTCCATGGTATTCTAATGATCCCTCCTCATTGGCAGTCAATTTTGTGTAGACCCCCCCCCCCCAAAGACTAAAAGTCAGAGTGTTTTACATTATGACCAACTCTTCCTTTTAATACCCTCTAGCTCTGATATTTCCATACAATAAATAGACTGATTTTGAATAATAGCACAGTACTTGACGTGAACGATTGTGCCAATCGATCACCAGCATGCGAAGCATGTAACTTGACTGAAATCTAAGGTCAACAAATAGAGGCTCAGCTCTCCTTTCTGTCACTTTTCTGTCTTCAAAAATGTCAATTTCAAACAGATTTAGCCTTTGAAGGACCATGACACTAAACGATATATTGCATTAAACGCATTCAAAATTATTGTATTGCATTGTAAGTAAACCGCTCTCTGCAACTACACCTGTAAGAGACATTTTGTGTCAAAAATTGAGTCTCACTTTTAATCTTTAAATATTTCAGGCTATTTGTATTTCATAACGAAATAAAATATAGAAAAAAAAATCATGGTATATTTACTTTGTCAAAGTCTTGCATTATAAAAAAAAAAAGTTGTGTGTTCATTCAACATAAAGATAGAATTACTGTTTATCTAACATGATAAAAGATCGATTTGTAAATTTTTAAGTGAGCTTTCTGCAGAGGATGAAAGAAGCTGCTTGGCTGATATTTCTCCATTGACAACCTTCTTTCTCCTTTCAGATGCTGTTAAATTTATAGTCGGCATCATCAGTATCTACTTTTTTTTGCATATAACAGAGGTATTTCGCCTTCACAAAGTCTCCACGTCCACTTTGCCGTAAATTTTACCATTTAATAATGCATATGTACATAGCGTTTAAACTGTATCGTTTACCTTACTTGAAATGCGCGAACGATCTCAAGTTTCTTTTAAGACCGTTTTCTGCTTGTTGCTTCTGAACAATGCTGTTTGTCTTAGTAACCTGTTCATCAAATTGGTAGACGACATTTTGGATATGGCATCGTATAACAGGGACAAATTTATACCGGCTATGTGAGCATTGTTTTAAAAGAAATGGTGAGAACATAATTGTTTGAGAAAGGAAAACCGTCACTGAAAGTTATTGAGAAATGACAAAGTGCTTTTGCAAATGCTGTGATCTCGCGACTTAAGAGAATTATGATCACGTACTTACGGCAGACCGAAAGACAAAAAGTTTGCAGTGCATGCAGATGTCAATCGGTCAGCAAGCAGTTTAAAGACTTCCTTTGAAAGAATCCATAGTCACCAATTCCGTTGTTTTTTGAAAAACTATACTAGCACTTTTGAGTCATTATCTGATCGCAAAATATTACCGTAGCAATAATTAAGGTTGTTATGTATACGACAGGTGATGCATTAATTTTGTCTTAGTATCAATTCCTCTTTTGTAATAAGTGGTTCCACTACTGACTCGGAGAAAATATCTGTAGTAATCACTCGTAGTTTGCATCACAGCTTTTGTTGACAGCTTATCGAGGCTGTTCGAGGCGCAGCGAAAAAAGAGTGAGGCTTGGGTCAAGTCGGGTAAAGAACGTCGTTCACCCGCCCTGACCCGACTCGACACAAACCTCCCCCGTTTTTCCACTCTACCGCTGCTATCGTGTCGAGTACCATTTCGCTCCGTTTTACTAAATGAACGCCTAGAAAAGGCTGGTGATAACAACAGCAACTAAATATTACGTTTGCTCATAGAGATATGATGAACAGCCTGGGACATTCTACATCATTTCATCATATTCCATTTTTAGATCAGTTTCCCTTAATTGGCTTGCCTGGCTTAGCTCATGAATCTGTAAGACAAAGTAAATAAAAGAACACTTTTATAATTTTCTGGAGTATTTTAGGACAGAAGTCTACGATATCTAGAAATTGCAGTCGGAAATCAGGCGATCGCCAAATAATTTTGAACTTTTTTCGATTCTCATTTTATCGATGAGATTTATCTTCATGCATTTATGGCAACTTCTTCAAAAATTCAAAAGTTCGCATGTAACCAGTTATTCATTCCGTGATATTCGTAGCTGTCCGAGAACGAAAGGGAAACGTTAAAGGGAACCACATAAAAGAGGTTAGAGCGTAATAGTTTTTGAACCAATTTTTTATGCCTTTCACAAAATTTTAATGACAAATCATTTTTTGACCATCAGATGAAATTCAAGAGCGAAAATTATCCTTGCAGTGGTAAGCTGTTATACAAACCTTTTTAATTAGGAGTAGAAGAAGGGAGTTAAGAGGCGGTGTTAGCACCTTTACTCGATTGTCATTAAAATAAGGGAATGTTTTCTCACAACACCAGCTGTGTGTACACAATCTGTCATAGAGTCACGAAATGTTCTTGAATGTTCGAATTTGGTGATAAAAAATTATTTTTAAATTATATGCTCAAAGAAATCCATGGACAACCTTCTGAGGAGTTCAATTTTGCACTCGATAAACAGTTTTAATTGATGCTGGTAACGTGCTGAGAAAGTGCTGACTAGTCTTATCAACCAAGTTAAGGTTTATTTAATCATTTCTTATTATAATTTTCTTCTGTTTTAATTTTCGAGCTTAATCTTTGGCAAACGATTAGTCTCAAATGATAACTGTTTACTAAAAATAGAGATGACCAACTCTTCTCTAAACAGTTCCTTCTGTGTATTTGAACAATTGTTGGCAAAGTTCGCATCTTTAATTTACAAGGTTTCGTTATAAGCATTATGGCTAATTCCTAATCATGACAAAATCGAGCGGCTGGCTCCTTTAGCAGCTCGTCATCACTAAACCATATTTCTGAGCTAAGGTGACATATCTCATTAAGTTTACATCGCAGAGAAAAAATCCTGAGCGCATTCTGACTCAAAAATAATAGGCTGCACTATTTCATTGCAAATGCGCAAATTGGAGACGTTATTGTTTTGCTATGGCTACTAAATTATAATTTTTCACTCGTTAATTCTTCGTTAGATAATTCGAATACAATATAATATTTAGAAGTAGCTCTTCATATTTTCCTTAC